TGCGGTCGAATAGAATCTCGCCAAGTAATGTGCATTCTCATACGCATATAAAGGTGCTGAATAGCGTTGGGAAGACTTAGATACAAAGACTGACCAGACCGAGACTGACCTCACTCTCGTAGTACAGAGTAGCGAAGCAGAATGCTAGAATGCCAGTAGCGAGCCTAATCAAGGTTTGAACTCAGATCAACATACATCGTTTCCATCACCAGGTGTGAAGGAGCCTGRYGCTATACACGAGAAGAAAGCGYCAGGTCCRAACATACACAGACGAAGAGGAASGGATCAGACGAAAGGAAGGAGAGAGATGGGAACRTCGTCAGCACCGAGTCTTTRTCRCCRWTCCCAAATAACCCTCGATGCCATGTCTGAAGTCCCAAAAGTCGAGTCTGGATCTAATGTCGATAAGTCTCGAGTTACAACTCTCTCTCTCCTTTCTCCCTCTCCATCTCTTCTCTCTTTCTCCCCTTACATCTCTCTCTCTTTCTCTCTCGTTAGTCCGCAGATACTGAGAAGTCAGATAGGGAGAAGATGAGGGAGAGATGGTGGACTTAGAAGAGGAAGAAGAAAAACTCTCTCTCTCTCTGTTTCGATCCAGGTACTAACCTGAGATCTCGGCGCGTGTTGCAGGTACCTTGAAGACGAAGCTGGAGCAATGGCGCTACAGGTAAGCACCTCTGGCCTCCGCCCAATCTCTCTCTCTCTCTCTTTCTCTCCTCTTTCTCTCTCTCTCTCTCTCTCTCTCTCTCATTCACACTTACTCTCACACCCACACACACACCTTGGTCGAATCATGAACGTCACACACACACACACATGTAGTAGCAAATTATTGCAACGTTGCAGCGGCGGATACGATCGATCTGCCCATCCCTTACAGGAGAGTTGTGCGAAGCCAGCCGCGGCCTACGACGACTTACTCCACGCCAGGTAAGTTGCTTGATGAGTCTATCGAAGTACTGTCTCTCTCACTCAGACTTACTCTCACACCCACACACACACCTTGGTCGAATCATGAACGTCACACACACCCACACACACATGTAGTAGCAAATTATTGCAACGTTGCAGTGGAGGATACGATTGATCTTCCCATCCCTTAGAGGAGAGCTGCGCGAAGCCCGCCGCGGCCTACGACGACTTACTCCACGCCAGGTAAGTTGCTTGATGAGTCTATCGAAGTACTCTCTGTCACTCTCTCTCTCACACCCACACCCACATGTAGTAGTGAATCTTTCCTCATTCTAGTGGTAGATTCATTCGATTTATTTATTTATTTATTTACTTATTTCTATTGATGAAAGTATCATAAGGTAAGCTGCGTGATTGCAGACTTACCCGTTCCCCTTCTCGTCGTCGTCGTTGCCCGCTAGATGCCGTCGTTGTCGGAGCCGTCGTTGTCGCCACACCGTTAACTTGTCGTCGTCCGACCGCATGGTCAGGTAGGTGCTTTCTTCTCCTCTTCTCCTTCCCTCCTACTTCTTCAATTTCCTTCTTCTTCTCTTTCTTCTTCTTCCTCTTACTTCTACTTCTTCTTCCTCCTTCATTCTTCTTCTTCTTTTTCTTCTTCGATTCCCTCTATCCTCCTCCTCCTCCCACTTATCTATTACTCTCTCCTACTGCCTTTCCCCCGCGCACCACTTTTCTTCTGCGTGGTCGCCTTTCCTTCTTTGCGCAACTCCTTCTCCCTCGTTGACGCGCGACCTCTCCTTTACTCGGTGCGCGACTCTCCCTTGCTTTCCTCGTGGTCTCCTCCTTGTCCACCGTGCTATCTCTAGTTGGTTGCGCATGCCCTACTCCCGCGCTTGGTCACCCCCTGCGCGCGCACTCCCGCACGTTGTCTATCCTGCTCCGCGTTCTTTCTTCCTACCGTGCGGCCGCCTCCAACCTTGCGTCTGCGCGATCTCACGTGCTTGCTCTCTCCCCAACGAGGGGAACCCGTGCTATAGGCTGATGCCACACGGTAGAGACGATCGGAGCCTCGAATCCGCCCGGCTTTCGGGTGCAGATTCCCCGAAACGAATATGGGAAATAGTGCTCACGGGTAAAGAGAAACGAATCTATCTTTCTAAATAAAATAAAAAAATTAAAGAATAAACGAATCTAACAAGAACTATTACTAACTGCCAAGTATAGTGTCTCGTTTCAACGAGGCAACTACTACAACTAACCCTGGTAAAGAGGTCGTGGGTTCGAGTCCCGACCGTTCAAACCCAGGCAAAACAAAAGGTAGAGCTCCCTGTCAAAAGAGAGCTAGCTCAGAGGGCGGCGGACCTCGATCCCCACATCCCCCGCTTATCAAGCACTATCGCTGAGCTAGTTCCCACTTCGAGTAGAAGTGGAGTAACTCAGTACGTATATAGTAGCGGGCCCAGTCCGACCTTTGGACCAAACCCGTTTCCCAAATCTGTGTGTGCGCATGCTTGCAGGTCTGTGCGCCTGTCTAAGTGCTCGCCTGCTTGAGTGTGCACGTGGCCCTCAAAGGCAGTGGGCCGATTGGAGGGCCCGAAGGGCTAGTACTTACCTATACTCGTGGCTTTGGGGTTTTGCAGCGGAAAAATACCCAGGTGGCGGGTCGGCCGGTACTTAGTTATGGCCGCGATATTCAAGAGTCGCGATGGGAAAAACACTCACGTGGCGGTAAAAGAGATCTGCTACACCTTAAGCGCGATGGACGACGTTCAAGCAACAGGTAGGTCGGTGTCACACCTCATCGAGGTAGATGCGGCGGTTACTCAACTCGGAGGCCGAGTTGGGGAAGACAAAGCCGAAAATTTTTAGAATACCTGGTACTGGAAGACAAACAGGTACTAGACCAAGTCTCAGTGCGTGCCTTAGATCTACCTGACACACCATTAACCCACCTGACCCCTCGACCTCTTTTGTTGAGGGATATTATTACTGATCCTGACCATCTCAGCGTGCGTCACAATAACGCACGCTCATACTCTCGAAAATTTCTCACCAATTTTGCCCCGGCCTTATTGGCTGAGGAGTTCGTTTCGAGCGTCACACTTCAAGCGTGCACATCCTTTCCTTTCAGACTGGCTCCATCATGGTAGCCAATGTCGTCACCGTGTCAAATGCAAAGCATGGCCAAATACCCTTGTAAGGGTATTTGGTCCAACAGTATCCCATACCCATTAAGCGACGTTCCCGTTGCTCGAAAAACTATATCCAAACAACAGAAGGATTTCGACAAGCAATTCGTTAAATCCGAATCCTGGGATGAGATGTGGTTCAGGATTGACGTCGTCACCTCACTTTTCATTACTACTACCGGGATTTTAACCCGGGTCTCCCACATTATAATATAACTGAGTGAATTGAAGTGGGGATACTTGATCTGTACTACTGTATATGAAATAGTTAAGTATGACAATGCGCCTTTGCTTTCCCCACTCCCTTAGACTTTCGATCCAGGTATTCGTTGGTTGTTTTCGAGGTTGGTGTTCGCGTACGAACTCATCCCGTCAAACGCGGGTCCTAACCGAGACCTTGGTCGTTTTAACTCTTGATATCAATTGTCCAAAGTTGCCTGTTGTCCTGCCCGAAGCCTAATACAGGAGGGCAGCGGTCTCCATCATGACCCACCACAGTCCTGCTGATCAGGCCGGAGCTGCGCCCCACCGTGTTGTTGCTTATCGGTGGTTACCCTCGTTGGTTGCTCAACTATGGGTTAATCATCCTATCTTTTCAAAATATAAATTTCAAGACTAATCTCGACTCCTTCGACATCCACCTGAATAGGTCCCTTCACTAGGGTGACCATCCCCTCTAGTCCCTCTTTTAGGCCAAAGTCGAAGGGTCCGCTGCCTGGTTATGCTAGGTCAGCAACCCACACTGGGAGTTACGTCCCAACGATGCCAAATTTTCACCATAGGCTTGGTAATTTATGCCCTCAGAATAACCCTTGAAATGGATGAACGATGCCTTTTAAATAAACCAAATAAATGAGATTTTTAATAAATTGAGCAATCGTCAGACTGCCACTCAGGGTTGTGCCCTCCAAGTCTTTGATCATAGCTCGGTGAGGCACGCACCTCGGGGTCATTTGTATTATATATAAACTATTATTTTTAAATAAAATAAATATTTGTTGACTCTTTTGCTTGTCTGAGACCAACAACAATCATCCACCCAAATCCATTTTGTAAAACACAATGTTTTACCTCATGAGAGGTATTTGCTCATACCATAGCATGACATTTCTAATTATGGATATAGATTTAATCCAGCATCAGATCACTCATTCTTCTGTCGCCTTTCATTCATTCGTTGACCCGCCCGTCCCTCTACCACCATTCCATACCTCAGAGGATCTTTAAACAGTGATAGACGAGGGGAGGTACTCATCCATAGAAGAGACTTGACAATCATAGACACCGGAATGCACACAACGTGAAGTGTTTTGAGGTCACTAACTCATCTGCCCCTGATCTCATACATATAGATATAAAATATAAGTATGATACAAGTGTCATTAATAACTCACCCACTCACCCTTATCTATTTCCTCTGAATGTTCATGCCTCCCGTCCTACTAAGTTCTACCCTTTCCTATTCACTCATACACCCTCTCTCCTCAATTCACATCTCTGATACTTTCTATCCTCATAAGTCCATTGCCAACCCTAGCATCCTATGAAGTGTCACCCTGCCACCCTCAGGTGTTGTAATGATCACCTGCCCATTGCGAGCTACCAGCCTCCCTCTTAAGTCAAGTCTGACCATCCCTCTCCTAATATACTCAGCCAATACAATACAACTATCCCTGAAATGACCCTCCTCTGTACAGAAGAAGCATCTATTTTGGTCCTTGTTATGTCTGGCTTTTTTGGCCAGTGGTCCACTCGATGTTTCAGTCTGACTCTCTGCCCCTTCAACTGATTCCATGCCAGGCTGCCCACTCCTCTTCATGGTCTTCTGTTGAGGCATGTCCAAGCTTACACCTTTGTCCTCCAGTGGGGCAGATGAATAATCAACTCTGGGTTCTTCTTGAGGCTCTTTGCTGGATGGTCCTTCTCCCCCAGCCTCAGTCAACTCGTCCATCTTCCTTCTTCCTTCCTTAGACTAAGGGACTCTTTCTCCTTCTTCTGCCTGTCTGACATCAAGTCCCTTCTCCTACCTGCCTTTCCACCACTTTCGTGGTTTCATCCCTCTTCTCCTCATGGCTCAATTTGAGCTCTTCCATTCCCTTCAATATTTCACCCCATCTTTTCTCCCACTCTTGTCCCAATTTCTTTCTCTCTGAGATCTCAGTGTCCAGGTCCAGTCCTTGCACACTGACCTCAGAGCACAGACCTTCCACCTTTTTTTCCACCCTTCCTCTTGCAGCTGCTTCATCCTCCAGTTCTCTGCCTTTCATACTCAGGGCAACCCTCAAGGTGCTCACTTGTTTTTGCAACTCCTCCTTTCCCTTCTTCAACTCCTCCACTTCCTTCCTCATCCCTTTCATGTCTCCTATGAATTTTGCCACCTGGGTATCCCTCTCTTCTTCCTCCTTTCTTAGCCTGCTCATCTCCTTCAAGAGCCCAGGGATGTAATCCAAGAACCCTTGAGTGAAGAGTTCAGTGCTGCCCTTGAGTTCTGCCTGGAGTCCCTTCCCTACTTTGTCCAGGTCCTCCCCAATTTCCTTCACTCCACCTTCTCCTTCCATCTTCCTCATCTTTCTGGCAATCTCAGCATAATCTTCGAAGAGTCTGGTGCATTTCTCGTCCAACATCTCATGCAGCCCCATCATCCTCTGCAAGTTACCCGAGTGTTTTGAACTTACCACTAGTTCTGAGAGGAACATCCTCTCAAATCTGACATCCCACGTGGAGTTCACAGGCAAGTCATCATCCTGTAACATCTTGATCATATAATTTCTCCATCCTTTCCTCTTCTTGTCTTTTTGAGTCTTTTCCTCCTTACTTTCCTGCCTTTCCTCCACCTCTTTTCTCAACTGGGATGACTCTCCACACTTTGGTCTCCTCTTTCCTGTTTCAGCTTCCTCTCCCTTACCTTCTTTTGACCTGTTTTCTTTTTCACCCTTCTCTCCTTCCTTCCCCTCTTCGCCTTCAAACGACCCTTTTCCCTTAATTTTTTCAACCCTTGGAGTCTGGCTTCCTTTCTGAAGCTCCTTTTCTTCTCCTGCCTCCTTTGCTCCTTCTCCCTCCTCACTCCTTTTTTCCTGTACCCCTTTCCTTCCAAACTCAATTGATCTTTTCTCTTCAGTCTTTCTTTCCTTTGGTGCCACACTTGCCCCCATGCTTTTCCACCTCCTTTCTGTTGTCTCCCCCTCTTTCTGTTCATATCCCCTTGCTTGGTCAGACCCCTCGTTGCTGCTCTTGGGGGCGACCCTTTTCTTGTCCCTCAATCTTTTCAAAGGCACATCATCCTCCTCTTCATCCTCCGTACCCTTTTCCTGCGGCTCATCCATCTCTCTTCCAATCCATAACCCCTTTTCCTGCAACCTTTCCTTCCTTGTCTGACCTTGTCTCTCCTGGGTGTATGCAATCCCCAATTCTGCCGTTATTCTCTGCCAGGTTCGACTCCCTTCCACGATCCCCTTCACTTCCTCCTTCTCACTCTTTTTTGTTCTCACAATCAATTGTTTCTTCTTTTCTTCCTCACTCCATTCCCCTCTCTCAGCTGCCAGCTGCAAACTGTCGATAAAATCTTCCAGATTGGTCCAATCAAATCTTAAGTCATCCTCAACATCGTCCCTTGGGAAGGCCCCAATCTCCTTCCACAACCTCACCTTGCATACTCTCCACCTCGTGCATCCTGCCACCGCTCCTTCAATCATTTTCTGGTACATTCCTTCTCCAGTCACATTCGCGAGTTTCTCCTTGTCACCCCATTCTCTCCTGAACGCCCACTCCTCAAGGTCTCGTAAGAATACTCGCAAGATGTCGCCAACCCTGTAAATGGGCAACTCCTCCAGGCTCCTTGAGACTCTCTGATCCCTCCTCTGCCCGCCCTTTCTCAAGGTAGGTCCAGAGGGCCCTGCCACCGCTCTTCTCTGCGCCATGACCTCTTCTTTCCAAGGTTTACGCCTGCACACAGAGAATGAGCAAATGACAGGTATAAGGGTCAGATCATCATCACGACAACATTTCTCATTAAACACAAGTTTTACCACGCCCCCTTTATCTGGTACTCACAGACACGCACATATATACATATACATATATATGCCTATATATATATATATATATATATATATATATATATATATATATATGCTTGCGTATGCATACACATGTACGTTCCCACTATACCCTTCACATTCATGCACGTATACATATACACACACATATATATATATGTATATATGTATTCACACATGCATGAGTATATACTTAGGTACTTGGGTATATACATGCATAGGTACTGATACACATATATATGCATAAACACTTTCCCAGTCTGCTCAAGTTTCTTATTTCGTAGCCGGGCTTACCTCTTCTCTGACTTGGAATTTCTTTAGTCTAGATCCTGAAACCCAGTCCTCCCTTGGAGTTTCATCCATCTCTTCTAGCTCATAGGCCCCATGAAGTCCCTGCTTCCTAACTTTGAACGGTCCAAACCAACGTTTGTCCTGTTTCCGCGACCACTGCATTTCCAAAGAGGAATCGTAGAGTAGCACTATTTCGCCAATTTGCAGAGGCTCGAGTCTCACTCTAGGCAGCTTGTCCCATCTTTCCTTATCTCTTCCTCGGCTATCTGCAACCGGCATGGCCGCTTCCTGAACCCTCTCCTTAGTGGTGCTGATCTGTCTTGCCCTCAGATCTAGCAGTTCCTCCAAGGTCAAGTTGTTTTCCAGGTCCCGCCTGCGCCAAGTTTTCAGGAAACTTTCAATTGGAAACGTGGCGTGGCAACCATATCAGAGCATTGCCGGTGCGTACCCAGTCGTCCTTCTTACAATAATATTCTCCACAAAGAACACTGTCCTTAGGAACTTTGGCCAGAGGTTCGGCTTCCCATTGGTCCATTTGGCCAGTAAGTTAGTAATCGTACTATGGCCTCTCTCGACCAGTGCATTCCCCTATGGATGAGCCCGAGTCGTATAAGTACCTATGACCGCCAATTCCTTCAGCAACTCCTTCACCTCCCCACATGTGAACTCCGACCCCCTGTCCATTGTAAATTCTAATACGAACGGATATCTGAGATAATATTCTTTGATGCAATCCGCCAGTGTTGTTCTAGTCTTATTTCTGATCGCTCTGCCATCAACGAATCCAGTAAGGTTGTCCCTTGCGTCAAATATATAGTTATATCCTCCAAGACCCAGTGGCATAGCCAGTAGATCCAGGTGAACAACCGCCCCTACTTCCTTGATATATCTAGGATGCAGAGGTTCCTTGTACCTGATAGGTGATCGTATTTGATAGGGTACACACGACTCACAGTATTTTCGTGTCATCTCAAACATTCCTTCCCAGTAATAGAGTTTCATCGCCTTTTTGTAAGTAGTCGCAAAACTCCGATGTCCTCCAACTATCCCATCATGCAACGCGGCTACTACGTCAATTTGACGATTCCTCCCACATACGACACGTCGCGGCGGCCCCCTCTTGTCTCTGATGAACAAATGGTCACCTCTTACCACATAGTGATCTCTCATCCGGAGTGCCTTTCACCCACTTCTCTCTCTCTTTTATCTCCTGAGATGAGCAACCACATTTCCAAGTAAAACCCATCATACTCTTCCTTCCTGAATTCCTCTGAGATCTCCTCCTGCTCGAATTCTCTTTCCTTCTCTTCATCAAATTCGTAATCATCCCCAATTACTAGCCTTCACCATTCCTCTCTCATCATTCACTTGGACTTGTAACAACGAATTTGTCAGGTAATACATTCTTCCCATCATGGCTACCTGCTCGTCTGCCTATTTGACTCCTGCTTCGATCGTTCGCGGCTCATCCATCATCCTATAATTTTCAGCCAAAGCTATTTTCATCATCCACTCGGTATTTCTCTCGCCCCAAGAGTGATCTTCCTCTAATGGTGTGAGTATTAGAGAAGGTTCTCTCATAAATTCGGGAGGTGGATGCCACATCGGATTTCCTCTCCTCATTTCCTTACTCTCAACGAACATGAACCAGCAATTCACATGAGTCCGCATGTCTTCTCCTTCTTCAAAAAATCCATCCACCGGAGATGTTTCTTCCTTAGCATCTTCCTAGTTCCCCCACTCAATTCTGCTCATGCCATCCGCCCTATTCTTGTTCTCAGGGATCCGTTCTAACTGGAAATCGAACATCCAGATATAAGTAAGCCATCTGGCTATGGTCGGGTCTGAGGGCGAGAAGTTCTCGAGTGAGTACACAAGCGCCGTTGGATCGATCTTGAGTACAAACCTCCTCCCAAAGAGGTAATGCCTAAAGATTCTTAGGCAATGCAGGACTGTCAAGGCTTCTTTTTTGAACTGCGAATAATTCATTTTTGTTGAGTTGAGCGTCCGACTTTCAAACCTCAGCGGTCTTTCCTTCCCTTCACCGTCTGTCTGAATCAAGACGCCTCCTAGGGCGGTTGGCCCAGCATCAGTTTCAACTATGAAAGGTCGTTCCATAGTTGCGTCAAAATCTGGTACCCCCAACACCAGGCCTCCTTCCCTGAATTCCTTCTTCAACTCCTTCACCACTTCTTCCTGATGGTTTCCCCATTCCCATTCCTGATCCTTCCGCACTAGCTTCCTTAGATGCTCTGTTTTGCTAGCAAATCTTTCTATGAATCTCCTCCAGAACCCATAGGTACCAAGGAAACTTCGAACTTCACCCACATTTCTGAAAGGAGTGGGTCATTCCAGGATTTTATTAGTCTTCTTCTTATCAGACCGTCGACCATGTTCGTTGCAAATGTATCCCAGAATAATTACGTCCTTTACACAATGCCTCGACTTCACTCTACTCGCGGTGAGGTTGTACTCTTCTAGTAACATTAGGTCTTCTCTCAATCCTTGAACATGTTCTCATACAAACCTTCTCACCCCTGGAGCCACCTCTGACTCATCCTTCTCAATCGGACCCTTAACTGCAAAATCGTCTATGTATGGCTCGGTGATTCGAGGGCTGATAGGCTGCATTACCCTGATCATGCTTCGTTGCACCGTGGCCACAACGTTGGTCCACCTTTGGGGTGCAACATTCATATGTACCAGTCCTCTAGGCGTGTGCATTGTCGTGATGGGCCGGTTTGCAAGATAGACTGGAAATTGATCATACCCAGAGTAGAGGTCGATAAGTGATACAATCGACCTTCCTGCGCAAGCTTCTGACAGTTGGTCAGCATTAGGCAGTCCTCCAGCATCCCTTACGGTTACTGTGTTCAGCCGTTGGAGGTCTTGTACCCATCTGAGCATCCCATTTGGTTTTATAAAACAAAACCACGAAGACGCGTATGGTCCACTGGAGTACCCAGCAACATCTGTGCGGATTTTTCCATCTAGATATTCTACCACCCTTCTGCGATCTTCGGGATTGAGGTACTTGGCTCCTCGGGCATTCCATGGCTCATGATGTACAGTATAAATGCGGATCATCTCTATCTTGTCCACATCCAACCTCCCACGTTGATCATCGTTAAAGGCATATGCCCCATGTTTTTCTCGTACCAACTCTTTCACCAATTACTCATCTTGCCTCGTCAGAAACCCAGGTTCTCCTATTATCAATTCCTTCTCAGTTTCTTCGTTGATGCGACAAGGCCCATTCTGAATGCCTTCCCTCATTCATTGTATCAGTTCTCTTTCTTGTTCATAATATACGCCTTCTTCCTGACTTACTAGAATTGGGACAGGGTGACTTTTCTTATCTACCGTCTTGTACCTCCTTTTGGAGCCCTGCTTGAGCCCACCTCTAAAAAATGCTGACCTGCAGCTTGTGCATTTGCCGCATGCGGTATTATCACTTGAGAGGAAGGCGGTGGGCGGTAGACAAGATCGACCCTTCCTCCTTCTGGATCATCTTGGATCCTTTCTGCTAGTGCTTTGACAACATCGGGGTCAACCATCCTATAGGCTGACACCAATTTCACTGCGTCAATGATATTTGTTAGAATTAACACAAGCCCTTTGGCTTCTTCATCATCTGACTCTTCCTCTCCTTCTTCCCATTCCAGTTCTCTCCTCCAATTCTCTGACTCCTCGAATGTGTAGGATCCAGCGTTGAGTCTGTTCTTCGAGTTGTGAGGGCCGGTATTCCTACAGGTGATAACCTCAAAGTTTTCACAGGCGGGGTCACACAAGATAACGAACATCGTGCCATCGTGCTTGTTCATTACGAGCGACTCGGACCTGCACAGGAATGACCTGCCCAATAATATTAGAAGATCCAAGTTGGGCATGACGTAAAAACACTTGTGTACCTTGACTCTCCCTATCTCTATTACCACATTCGACGCGACCCCCGTGTATCCGGTCTTGCCGCTGGCTCCATTGAGAAACCCGCAGTCATTTTCATCCACCTCCAACCCTAGTCTCACCGCGGTTTCTCCGTTTATAATGTTCATTTCAGCCCCGGTATCAACCATCCCAGGACACATCTTCCCCTTTATCATGACGTCAATGGACCCAGTCCCTATGAACTTTCAGTCCATTTTACTTCCTGTCACGCTCCAGTTTGCTTCTTTGGGAATCAGGTCCCCCATCCGGACCGAAGCTACTCTTCGACGTGATAACCTCGCCTTCACCATCTCCCTTAGCTTAGGAGCCGAAGCGAGGATTTCTTTCTGATTTAATAGTTCATTGTGTCCTTCTAACAATTTATTGACCAGACTTTTCAGGTCCACCCCTTCTTCGATCGAAGTTTGGTATTTCCTCTTCTTGCTGGACGCTTCATCCTTTTTGGACCTTCCTTCCTTAACTTCACCTTTTCTTCTCTTAGCCCTGATTTCCGCCTGCCTTTCTTCTTCCTCCCTAATTTTCTCATCCTCGTCTTCGTCACCTTCTACCATGACAGACGGTTCTTCCTCTGCTGGCTGGGAAGCCTGTGCTTGCTCCTTTGGAGGATTTCCTCCCGCGGGTCGTCTTGTAGTGAACGGAACTATACCTCTTACACTTCCTTGACCCCCACTGCTTTTCGCGGCCATGTTGGCCCTCAACATTCTTGGGTTGGGCTCATTTGGCCCATCTCCCGATCCTCCACGTCCCATGGTAAACACCTTCGGGCATCCAACCCCTTCTTTTCCCGCTTCTTCACATATCCCTTGAAGCTTCAAATGTAGTCTTTGCATTTTATCCACTAGGTCCTCCATCCTATCAAATGTATCCCTGACGTTAATCCTAACGTCATCCTCTTCTGCTTCCACAAGGGGTACATCTTCCTTGCTTTCTTCGATCCCCATTCTGCTCAGTTTTTCTTCTAATTCGGTTACATCTTCCACTCGTACGACCGGTCCTTCCTTTTCTTGCCACATTCTGAACATCCAGGGGCGTTGGGACCTAGCGCGGCTACGCGAACGACCTTTTCTCTAGTGCCTCTTGGAATTTCATGATCGATCACCCTTTCTGTTCTGTCAAATACCTCGTCATCTATGTTTGATGTTATGAGTCCATCGCGTTCGTCAAACTTCCTGACGTGACATCATTTTACCGTGTGTCCTTTGATCCCACAATGGGTGCAAGTGCATTCACTGTAATCTATCCATCCTCTGCCATAACCCTGTCCGTTCCACTGTCCATTTCCTTTACCAAACCCTTTTCCGTAGCTTTGGTCGTAACCACGACCATACCCTTGCTGATATTCTTGCCCTACCGGATTTGCATCCCCTTGGGGATGTCCCCAATTTCCACCTTGATACCCACTCCCTCTATTTCCTGCTCCTTGTTCCCCTGGTCCCTGATTTCTTCCAGCGATCCTACCTCGCCCTCGTCCTTGCCCTTGTCCTTGGGACCTGTTCTGGTTTTGGCCTCCTTGGCGACTCGACCCTGGTTGGTTTTGTTGATTCTGCCCTGCGCTTTGGTCCCCTCCCAGATTCTGGTTTTGGGGCAACATAGGATACGAACCCTGTGGCGGTCATGGCCCTATCGGGAAATACCCAGGCCATGCTCCCATAGGCGGACCGACGGGCCATTGTCCATACTGAGCCGTGCTTGTCGACGTCTCTTGCCCATACTGGACTATTGCTTGCTGAGTAACCTGCCCTTTTCCCGAGCCTTGTCCTCCGATAGCGATATTCTTAGCCTTCCTCTGATACTTTGTCAGTTTGACCGTTCTTTCTAGTTCTCCTTCCTCGACCTCTTCTTCTCCATCTTCTTCTTCCTTCCTTCTTTTCCCTGATGGCTGCGTCACTATTAGTACTTTCGCTGGTGTCACTCTTTCCTTAAGTTCCTTTATTTTGTTTGCCATATCGCTTAACACTCCTCCAAGTACACTATTCGTTCCTTGGATTGTCCCAACCGCCTTTCTTTTCTTTCGTTCAACCTTGATCTGGTGGTGAAATACCTGATCCATGTCTCCAGCTACAATATTTTTTTTTATGGTTTCCCAGGTTGTCTTCCTCCTTGCGGCTCCTCCTCGAGTTAGCTCCATCGCCTCATAGCCAGATAATTTCCCTAGGAATATGACGCATTGCATTTCTTCAGACAATCCTGGGACCCTCTCGGCTGTCTTTTCGAACGTGTTTGCGAATGCCTTAATCGTGGTGAAATCATCTCTGTTCATGTTGTAGAGATGGTCAATCGTGAGCAAGCCATCTCATAGCTTAAACTTTTTTTGCATGCCCTTTTTAAACTCAGCCTAATCATTGTTGGCCTTTCTCACTTCCTCTTCCACATCAAATGTGCATTCCTACCACACGTATTCGTACAACGGGGTAAACTTCTCGGCTGGGGTCAACTGGTTGAAGATCTGCTCGAGTAGTTCTAACAAATGAGTCACCCTATCCCCCTTGAAAGGGAAGATGTTTATTCTTGGTAGGTTAGAACTCTTTATCGTTCTCTTCTCTAGTAACTTAACGATTTCCGCCGTGGTGATTAGCGGTCCTCCATTGACGCTGACATCGCTCATCTTTTCCCCTTTTCTTTCCCGGTTCCTGCTAGACTGTAGACCCTGTTAAGACACACAAACGACCATTTGATCCACCACCTTTTGTCACTGTCTTTGACATTTCCTTTGCCCTTCCTTCTCAATATCTTCTATTCTATGTGACCTTATACCCCCTTTTCTTTTAACGGAGTATTTCTCCCAAATGCACCCAATCCCCGTGCTAGAAACTTCTAATCATTCCAAATAAAGAAGGGATGTTATCTATAAATTCGTCGATACACGCCTCCCGACAGAGATTGCGCCAGTAGGTCGAGAGATCTTCCAAACGATAGATACGTAGGTACGTGTTTACCACGCACAGTATGTTATAGAAATCCTTTCCCTTTAATTTTGGTCTCATTTCTAAGTATAGACGATAAACAACTTCTGATGCCTCGAACTCGAAGTCCATCTCTGGAACCGATTGGGCTGCGAGTACTGCTCGTTCCACATTCTCAATTCCCCAAAATGCTTCATCAATTATGAAGCTCGGAATTGTGGCCTTAATGTACCTTGTCGGATACACGAATTCGGCGGCCCACTTTGCTTCGATCGATTTTATAACCTCCTCTTCTTCTCCCCAGTACATCCTTCTAGAAAACGCATCAAGGGTCATTCCGGTCGTCAGAACATACTTAGAGATGGGGCGGCTTTCCCCTATCGCGAGGTCGATCACGTGCGCCCTCTAGAGAAGGGCTGGTAGATAAAGGGTCACCTTAACTATTGCACGTCTGTCTCTTGAAGTCCATCCGGTCTCTATCCAAAGGAAGGTTTCTTGCCCTAGCGGTATCCCACACCATGAGTCCATTTCTTCCTCCACATCTATTGTCCTCCTTGGCAGTGTCATTTCGACCCCTCCTTCCTTTGACTTTGGCAGGTTGATCAGAAAGCTCCGATCAGCGAACCACATTAGAGGAGCCATCCGGTACCCATGTTACAACAATCAAAGAAAGAACCTTTCCCTCTTTAGTAACTGCTCAATCTTCCTTGGCATACTTTATTTTTATTTCTTAATAATTTTGCTACCCTCAGTTTTTCCTAAGTACCCCATTCCCCTTATGGTATTTGATCGAGGATCCTCTACTTCAGTTCCTCCCTATAGACATGCATATTTGCCCAATCGTGTTGACGTGCATACGAGTCGACTCGTGGTGGTATGTCATGCGGATCCCTACCTTCAATCATTTGCCCTATCTCTAGGTATAAGTAGTACACCAACAAAGGGGTAGACGCGTGATACTCTCTTTCAGGTATCGCCATTGCGACTTCCGCAACTCTTTCTACTCGAGACCTCCCTCTGAAGGCCGCATTTATGATGAACATAGGAAGGGTTCCTCTTAGATACGCTGCTGGCGAAAGAAATTCGCTAGCCCTTCTTACCCTCACAGTTCCTATAACACTCTCAAATTCATTCAGACTTGCATCTCGTCTTCTAAATTCGAGCGCTGATTCTGCTATCCATAGTAGTCTGGAAAAAGATCGATCAATTCCTAAGACTAAATTTATTATGATAGCTTGCAATTTTTCCGATGAGAGATACAATGTAACCCCTTCTACCGCACAATTCTCGCCTTTAACCCATCTAGACTCAATCCAGATGAAGGCTTGTTCCTCTATAGAAGTCCCCCAACAATATCCCGTCTCTTCATTCTCCTCGTGGCGACTTGGTAGATTCATCATAAGGCCATGCCTCATTTGCATGGGTTCCCTGATCGTGATTTGATATCAGGCAGAAACCATCCTCTGTTTGTCGGTACACTCGACCTACCACAAAACACAATCCAACCCACACCCTTTTTATTTAGCTAGCAGACTTTCGACTCCAAGATCTGACTAGTTTTTCGTTTTATTTTGCGAACTTTTCCAACCCTTTTGGACGCTTATATAGTCTTCTTATACAATAAGTAAGATATTAACTGACAGATCTCTATTTGACATAATATAAACATTAAGAGCGATATGCACATCTTTCTATCAGGTGACGCAGACTGCGAAACCACAGGGGGATCAGGTACACGTGGTATCTCGTGGGGCCCTTGTTGGTGAGGCAGGGGAAGGACGGTCAGCTGTCTCTCTTGAGACAGTGGGTAAGGGCTATGATGCGGGCGACTAGGCGGCTCGAAGCATGGTGGAGATTCTCCGTAACGCTTTGCGTACCTATATGAATAATAAGCCATTTCCTCAGGGTGTGGGGTATGCATGCGCCTCTCCTCCCGATACCTTCTTGGCCTCAATCCTTCGTCCTTCTCTTCTAGTCCTTCATCATCTTCTCTCCACTCCTCACTTTCTCTGGTCAAGTCCATAGGCCTTTCAGGCGCCTTTCCCTGTCTGCCGCCTCTTCCTCTACCAGTACCGGTCCCACGGCCTTTAGGTGCCATATCTGTTAACTTTAATTATAAGTAGGGCAATTGTACTTATGTATTATTTAGTCTCTATCTTACACACTGATTTGTTTGGAACAACTACTCGTCACCAGCTACCCAAGTTACCGTATTCTGCTTAAAATCTTAGCCAATTTCCAATTTTTAATGATTGTCGTTCTACCAGGATCTTGCCTTACCCGAGTTCGTTCACTAAGGACCTCGGCTAGAAGCGAGATCCCCGGCAATAGCGCCACCTGTCGCGCGTGTCGGTCCCACACCCAGACGCAAAGTAGTTTTTGTGTCGGACGTCACGGTCGTGTCACGCAGGAGTCTCTTTGTCACTTTACGCAATACCAACTTTGACCGTGCGCGCGTGCTATACCTCTCGCGACTCCCTACGATAGGTTAGGGTCCCGCGAGGTACAACATACCTCCACCTGCGGGAGCTGTCACCATCCCTTAGGTGGGCGTATCCCTGTTGAGCTACTGTCCCACGTGCGAAGGCTTTTACATGCAGTCGCAGAGGTAGGCCAGCTGAGGGCATTTTCTCGATCGCCGTAACATAGGCATACTCGCGGTAGAACGCCTTAAGACTGACCCGTATGTCGTGCCCCGAGGTGTTAATTCCCCGGACCTACTACCTAATCAGGTCGACTTTTTCGGACATTCTTCCACGCTTAGCTAACCATGACTCTATGTTTTCTTGGTTGACCTTATGAAAATGCCAGAGTCAAGCCCCTTAGTAATCTCCCATTTTTTTAAAGAAGTCCCAGATAAATGATTTCCTAGGCACCGACCAACCTACGATCTTACTCACAGATATATATATATAAATCAAGGGAGCTGAATGAGCGGTGAACCTCACTTTCACGATTGCGGTGCCCTTGTCTGAATATCCCAGATGATCTCAAGGTTTAGAAGATAGCACAGATGTCCAACACCTGTACAGATGCAGGAAACCACATACAAGCATACAGACGCAGACACAAAATGCGCTACAAGAGTCAACCTTAATTCTATTCAAAGCAAGTCTTTTACACCCCAAAACCTTGAAGACAACATTCCTTCCTAATCCTGACCCCTTTTACCCCAGCCTTTCACATTTTCAAAGATCTCCGAGTGTGATTTTGACAA